GTCATGCGTAAAGGCACAAGTACGTGTTTTGAAAAGCAAGAGAAACCTTTTATAAAATAAGTTTATTTATTCTATTTATAATAATGGCTATTATGACAAACTGCTGTTCAGTTGTTATCGTTTACTGTTAGTGTATTTTATAATAACCATGTATGTTTCAGGTAAATTAAAAGCTTTGGAATCGTTTATTAGTTGTAAATCGCCGGTAAGAAAAGTAATATCAATCCGTGACCTTAAATTACGCAAATCACCTCTTGATCAGTGGGATTGTGTGAATTTCTCTCGTGTGTGTTTGCTTGTGAAGTGTTAATCCCACTCTGCAGTGCTGCGCCATCATGAAATCCGTCTCTTTCCGCTGATTGGCTAAGAGCTGGCCAGGCCTGAGTCACGTGGTGAGTTCTTTTGGTCCTGAGTAAAAATGGGGTTTGGTGTAAATCTAGTGTGTATTGCTGTCATATATCACGCTACCTCGTAAAAACGACACTGAGGATTCTGAGCCAACAAATCAGAGAGGGAAAAAAATATGAGTTCTTATTATGTGGATGGTCTTCTTAGCGCATATACGGCGGCTGCTCTTTTTCCGAATGCGGAGCGGGCTTCTTGTCGTGCTGGATCCAGTGGAGAGGACTATGGCTCGGCTAGGAGTGCTGCGGCCATTGCGCTCACACCGTCCCTGTCTGGAGTCTACAGCGTCAATAATGCAGTATACCAGGGCCGCCCCGTGTTTACCTCGGGCTACAGCCAGGTGCACGATGCGCACACACTGCACTGCAGCCCGTTTGACCAGAGCCGCATATTCACCGAGAGCTGCCGCAATCCGGGGCCGGGACCCCTCACCTCTCCGCCGGACAAACATTACCGCTTGTACCCCTGGATGAGAGCATCAGGTATGTTCTGATACTATGTCATATGTGCCTGTGTTTCTGAACCCTCGGGTCAATGCTTTCACAAAATATTGGGATACTTACACTGGCCGTTGGTGGTTCAATTAATTTCGTGAAGCCATTGGTGTTGCATGGAAAGAATCGTAAAACTTTTATTGCGCAACTAATGAGTTCTGCAGCCATAAATTCATTTGGCCAGCGCTTCTGTGTGTTCAGTACGCAGAGACCTTGCCGCTGGGGGGTTTCTCTGCACTCCTATTACTCTTATAGCCTCTTCTCCCCTTTGTGGTTGTAAAAAAGACCGGCCTGTTGTGTAAATCAGTTCCCCCTGCACTCTGCAGCTCCTTTCTAATTGGGTCTGCACTGCAGAGGCTCATGGTGTTTTCTGAAACTCGTTCGTACATTGTTGGATCAATATGCACCAGTATTATCGGCCACATAAAGAAGTCAGGTGGATTTAAAATCCAGGCCACTTTGAAACACAGTCATTTGTTATGATTTTGAGAAGGTGTTGGGTTGTAATCTAATTACTCATGGCTCCTTCGGTGTGCACAACAGCACTGGCTTTTAATTGGAAAGGCATGCAGAGTATCAAAGGAGACATAAGCCAAACACCCCCAGCAGGAGTACTCTAAACAGATGCTGAGAAGTAAAAAAAAATCCTCTCCCCTACTGATTAGTGCGTGCGTAAAATATGAGCTACAATTAATTTCACAAATAATCACAAATTAACGAGACTAGATGTTTTTATTGGTAACATCATTAAACACCACTTTATTTAACTGTGATTCTGCATTACATTACATTCAGAAAATAACATTTTTGCAAGACCGCTCATGCCTCTTATCTTCCACAGACCCAAGTCGTAAGCGGGGGCGACAGACCTATTCCCGATATCAGACCCTGGAGCTGGAGAAGGAGTTCCACTTCAACCGGTACCTGACCCGCAGGCGGAGGATCGAGATTTCCCATGCTCTCTGCCTCTCAGAGAGACAGATCAAAATCTGGTTTCAGAACCGCAGGATGAAGTGGAAGAAGGACAACAAGGGCGAAGCGGTGCCAAACGACAGCGACACCCAGGCTGTGTGCGAGGCCGGGGGGCCCGAAACCGAAGACACCCGGGGCCCCGAGGGGCTGGAGTCAGAAACGGCTGCAAAGTAAAGAATGAGTCAGAAATTTAAAAAAAATCCGAGCGTGAATGAAAGCAACACAGTGTTGAATATGAGTTATGAACAGAACAGAGGCACCATTCATTCACGCCAGCTTCACAAGCTCATTAATTGAATGACAGCTTAGGGTTAATGTAATAAAATTTAACAGTAGACAGTATAAAATCTGCATTTCATATTTATACTGAAAATGCTTTTAAAGAGGCTCTGCATGAAAGAGTGACGTTAAACTACCTATTTAAACTCTATTTTTCTATGCGCAACACCTGCGTAAAATGAACCTGATCATACTACTGAAACAACATTCCTTGAACTAAAAACTACCCAGTTTCTACCAGATCATATCAAAAACACTGACGAATTCCAAATATCTCGAAATGTGTTGTAAATTAATCTAATCTACCCACTCCATTATTTTTTTCCCTCGCGGTTATGTTTCTAAAGGGAACAAATACAATATTGTGCGTAAATGTGCCTTACTTGAATAATGCAATGTTTAGTTTTTTTGTCTCCAACTGCAATGTAGATGTTTAGTATGGCTGTAATATTATTTTTATGACCCCTTAA